ATCCCCCCTTTTGGCAGCTACAGATGAATGAAGAAATCTTTTTAAGTTTTTAGCGACTGCTGCCGTTCATTTTATATACTTAATACTCGGGCATTTAGCCACTTTCTAAAAAGTATATGATCGATCAGAAAAGGGGAGAGAAAGTTAAGGAAAAAAAAAATAATAAAAGAATCGAGCCCTATCCGAACGAGTTTCGGGTTACGTCGTTGATATCTTCAGCTTCAATTAGCGGCGATCGAAAATCTAGCATGCAAATGAGTGGCGCGACACACAAAGGGCGGAACGTGAACAACCAGGCATCTTTGGTAATCGGGATTTTTCATTCTTGCCAGCTCTTGTAACCTGTAAGAAGATCTTTTTCTTCTTTTTTTTTTTTTCTTCTTCTTCGAAAGTTTTCGGCGAAGACGAAAGTGATGCGAAAATTGGCAATCTTTAAACCACGCTGCCAGATGAGTAGATAAAGTCAAGGGTTATCCCAAGACGACACAGAAGGGCTTTTATCTGGCAGAGTCGTGTCATCGCTTGTCGTGAATGTCGCAAACAAAGAACGACAAAACCATGCCAGTTAAGGTTGATAGCATCGACAGAAAAGAAGAAAGGAAAAAAAGAAAGAGAGGCAGTAGACATATCCGGCAGCACGATTGACGAGTCGTAAAAATTCGTGACATCTATAACGATATTTCATTGCCTGTTAGTTACAGTTTTAGTACAAATCCCAACAAGATTAGACGCCCGCCATTAAAGGCCTCCCGTTCTTTTAAAACGTTTAATTAAGCCTTGCTCGATATTTCTTTGCCGGATAGATAAGATGTTATCGTTAAAAATTCGACTTAATACTCTACTATAAAGATGTAACGGCGATAATGGGACGTCGGAAAGTCTTGTAATTTGGGATGTGTGTGTGTGTGTGTGTGTGTGTGTGGAAGCGACGGAGCGACGCGACGACGCGATGCGATGCGAGATTTTTGTATCCCGCTCGCGCGCGTCAATTATTGGAAGGAGGAAAAGAAGTGGAGATGGAGTAGGTTGCCGCTAAAATGGGATCATTACTCGGCAGTTATTACTTATCTAAACGGCCCCGGTGCACAGTCGTCGCTAGCGTAGTAGTAGTGTCCAGATAGGATAGAATTTACAGCTAGCACAATCGCCGCTTCACGGGTCCAACCGCGTATAGGGCCCTAGCGACTGGGATGCAACCGTTAATACTACAAATCCAGCGGTAATTTGTCACTGTCAAGCGGGATGATGAGGACTTAGATGCGGGTATGCCGGGTAGGATAAATTCTGTGCGCATGTTTATTCGAGCATTACGTCCTGGTGGACACAATAGAGAGGGCTGCAGACATCGACTTGTCACAATTTATCACGGAACAAACGTTACTTTGTTAATCTTCGATCCGCAGGCCCAAACTTTGGACTGGATCAATAGTGGACGGCGATGTTGCTGCCGGACAAAGCTCGGTTGCCATAGAGACAGAGTATCTGCAAGGCGAGCATGATTGATGAGCGCCGAGTTTTAGACATTCCACAGAGTGGCAGAACAATGGCCGGGACAATCGCTGCGCAGCGTGGCTGCAAAATCTACCCTTACGCAACTACACATACAAAACATGTTGCCTCTCTCTCACAATTCCGTTTTTGGCCTATTAAAAAAAAAAAAAAAAGAGACAGACAGAGAGAGAGAGAGAGGAAAACCAACTATCCCGTTGCCTCCCCCTTCTTATCTTATAGTGTTTCTTTTTGGGAACGTTCCCGGATCGAGACGTGGGGGACGTCCCACCACCCCCCGGGCTGCCCTTCGGTTTTCGGGGCGGGCCGTAATTAATATGCGACCCTACACGTGCCAATCACGTGACTTTTTGACCTCGTCCCGCTTAGTAGCTCCGCCTACCCGTCTTGGCTCCACCCTCGTGCTACAGGTGCCCGATATTAGCCAGCCGACTAGCGTGGGCGGGCCCGTCTACCTCCCCACCTCCTCGCCGCCGTGTTGCCACACGTTTGATCCTCGGCATCCTTATATATATATATATATACGTATTTTTATTTTATTTTTTCCCGAATTAAATTCCCGGACCGATAAGCTCGGCGGTAAAATATCTCTGTATTGAAATTACAAACGGACGAGATACTTTTATCTACAATTTACTTTTTATTGCTCGGCTCGAAGGCCAAAAATCGATACGTCTGCTCTCCATAATTATAGAAGCCGTTTGGATCTCCCTAATTGCCACCGGGTTCCCTCGAAAATCTCTCTCCCCCCACACACACACACGTTCTGTACCTTCCTTGGCCGTTTTCATTATTTTTTGGGGGCGCCTCTCACCCGGGTGCCACCATCACCACCACCAATAACCACCACCAGCAACCGATTCGAGGCCTCTCTCTCTCTCTCTCTCTCCAAATCGGAATTCTTGGGAGAATCGTGACTGCGGGTCTTTACTCATCGCTATCGATTATCGCTGATTCAGATGGATAGCGAGCGGTTATTTTCATGTTATACCTGGATAAATGGGCATGGGCTTTGTCGGATTCCTTCTATTACGTACGGGTAGGATAGTTGACGTTGTACAGAGAAGCAATCGTCAAGCAAGTCCATTTGCGGATTTGTCTTTAAGCGGTTTTATCTGTCAGATTAGGAAGACAATCGAGTGACAAGCGCCACTATTAATTCGTCCGTACAGTAGCGGGACGCGTTGTGTCCATTGTTCAGCCTCCGGTTTGGCTAAGCGGATTTACTACCAGATACAAACAGTTGAGCTTTTTATAGATCCTGCTCAATTGTCTGTAAATAATTCAATCTGTCCAACTCGGATCGGTTGGCAGATTCAAAACTCAAACATGCCACCGTTTGTTCCGTTCATTAAACCCCCCGCGGGCCGAAACGATACCACACCTTCCCACCCCGAGATATTTCGGTAATTACCCGCTAGATGGCATTTTTGCCCTACCCTTTTGTATTGTTGGCGAGCTTTATCTAGGTTATAAGCGAGTGCGGGAGTGGACGAGTTCTTCTTATTCACAGTCTTGAGAACAAATGAGTGTTTAGTGGAGCTGTCATACAAGACTCGAGCCCGTCAGAACAAAGCCCGGGCTTTGCCTGCTAGGCAATAATGTCGGAAAATTAAGCGGGTAGGCCACTGCCACGTGGGACGCAACGCGCGTAATACGACGTCTGGCTTAGCGCGGACGGCTCGGGGACTCGCCTGCCTAAAGGGTTTTCACATCTCATTTTCATACCCGCCTCCCTCGGGTCCACGGGCCACAAAAAAAAAAAACGCTACCGGCATGCACGGCAACCGGGTTTACATACTCTAGTCGTTCTTAATGGTGATTTTAAGCACTTCATTTGCCGCCACCGTGACACGTCTTACCGAGCTGTGACACTTGTGGGAATGGCGTATTCCCTGTTCGACTTCCTTTAATCTGGCCAGAAACCCTGTTGTTTATGAGAAAGTTGATGGAAATCGCTAGGCCGAATATGCGGCGCCAAAGAATATTTCGAGTTTAGTCACAGGTTAGATACGTGGCGCGATTGTTGCAGAAGAGAAGAATCCTTTCTGTGGAAAAGAATAGAGAGAAATCTGGTCCCGACTTTCTCTCACTTAGGGACATTTAAAGCGAAAATAAAGCCAGGTAATGGGCGAGTCATAGGAGGTTGTGTTCCTTTAATTTCCACATAAACTAAGAGCAAAGTGTTGGAACAATGTCCTTTGGGGTTCCTGCTGGGAACATTTAAATTTCAGATTTTTCTCTGCGAGGGGGGATCTCACGTTCAAGTGGTTTCTCTGGGACAATACTGTACAGGAGTTTATGGTTTCATTAGTTGCTACCAAGTAATGGTCGGTGATAGTGGGGATGGGAAGTTAGACGCCAAAGGCGTGCGCATCGATTTTGCTTCGCTTTACAACATGGACAATTGAATGTCTAAAAGCCTCATCCGGACATCTAATGCCGAGAAGAAGGTCTTCACCCTCCCGACTCCCCGCGTCATTAGGAGGTCTCGTCTATCCGTAAAGCGAACGTCATAAAGGGGAAAAAAATAAACATGATCATTGTTGTGGACGTGCACCCAATATCAACTTGACTGATTTGGCCGAATTGTGTACGCCAGGCTGTTGTACCCAGAGAATGTCAAATCTGAAAGATGATTGCTGAAGGAGATCACGTAGACAGGTTTCGGTCTTATTCGGGGTCATCCTCTCGTCCCCTGGGTCTCGATCTCCCGCCGGATGCCATTCAAACTTCACTTGGCACATTATGTGCCCGGAATGTATGTGAAAGGTGTCGATTATTGCTGCCACACCTAATGGACGTGAAATGTCCCCTCTGCCCCGGGGGGCCACGAAAAACGACCCTCCTCTCTCTCTCCGGAGATTTCTCGCCACGGCCTCCTCTTCTTCTTCTTCTTCTCTCTCTCTCTTCATGACGTGAGTAGCCTCCGGGCACCGGACATGGAGGTTTGCTCGTCAGGAAGTGATTGCTGTCTGACCGGAAGTGGCTGCAATGCCAACAACTTCCGATCTGTGAGTCTTTCTTATCAACTTTCGATAAAAACAATCCACACAGAATGAAAAGTGTTTATCCCGGATCGATTCCCTTCACTCATATATAAATCCCATCGATGTAGGGTTTGTCCTGTCCGGCTGAAGACACAAAATCGCATTCACACTCCAATAAACTACACAACCATAGAATTTTATGTCGCCTCTACATACAATTCTATCGCTGTGTACTTTATTCTACTCCCTTTTATTATTATTATTTTTCATCGCGTCACTAAGTATATAAGCGAGTTAACAATTAAGTTTAATACTAAATCTGTATGTGGTCTGGCAAAATGAATTTTGATTCGTGACCAAAATAAACCCACCGGGATGTCTTAAAATCGTGTGTTTTTTAAAAAAATAAAATAAATTGGGCCAAAATTAAAATAAAATTTTTATTTTGGTTGGATCAAAATCCATTTTTTCTGATCAAAAACCCTCTTTTTTTTGTCCTAGGGGATGCCAGTATAGGGTCTGGAGATGGGACGGGGGATGATGACGATGACGATCGAGGGAAGAAACGACAAAAGAAAAGGGGAATTTTCCCTAAAGTGGCCACCAACATCATGAGGGCGTGGCTGTTTCAGCACCTCACGGTAAGTTTATTTTGGTCACTTTCTTTCGCGATACGGGCCAAAAAACATCCGCCACATACAGGCCATCTGTTTAGGGGGTATTTTAGAAGATATATACATGCTTTAGTTCTATACGCGTATTCAGCGCGTTGAAAGTCAGAAAACATTGCCCCATTTGTCGGCAATCAAAAAATCCTGGCCTAGGCCTCTCGGTGATCCCTCGACCTTCCAAAATTTTACCACCACGGCCTATACAATCTAGTATCTAGGGTTCTTTGTTTTAAAGCTAAGACCCGAGAGGACCTCTGATGATAGAGGTCTTACGGGCATCTTGCCTTACGAAATACACTACCCACTTCCTTAAATTACAGTCCAACTCTATAAATTGCACGGTCGTTCTCCGAGCAACGAATTAACAACATCGGAAAACTGAATTTTTTTAAATTTAGCCCCGGAGATAAAAGGGAGCGAATCGGTGAAAAGTCTTCTTCTTCTCACTATTCACGTGTAAAATATTTTCTAGGCCGGATATTCTTAAGACCGAGCTCAGACTTGTTTTTTTTTTTTATTCAAGAAACACCCGAACGGGCCTCCAAAAACTCTTAACGCTAGTCACGAAACAGTTTAAAAGATGGACGATTTTCTAAAAAAATAAAAAAAAATAAGAACAAGAGCCTTCACGTTCGAACCCTCAAACGATGCGAACCAAAGATTAGGAAATTACCACAAAGGATGAGGATGAATTCTTTGTTGTATTATTCTTCTTCTTCTTCATCAGTTGTGCTACCACCATCCAGATTCCGATTCGTTTAAATTCGAGAAAGGTTTAAGTCTGAAACCAGAAACCTCTAGGCCAACCGATTTATTGAAAAATAATTCGAGAAGGAAAGCCCGCTTATCCAAAAGCGATGGACCCCACCAAAACTGATTACCAAACCCAACTTCTCTCCAGGGATTCGGCACGGAATTATCTGGATAATCCAGCATGGAGGAACTTTTTCTAAACAGTAAAATGCCCAAAATTTTCATGTAAACGGGCGTTTTAGAAGATTCGCAAAGCGATTCCAATCTTGGGGATGACCGCATTTGACCTTTAACGATCGCCATTTTGATGAAAGTGAGCATCTTGTCACTTATAAATTTTCATCAAACCTTTATAAAAATCGGGTTCTTTTTTATTTCGTGGGTGCCTTCCTCGTGCACAAAGATATTTATCTCAACTAAACTAAACGTTTTAAAACACGATGATTACTTTCAATTCGGGCCAATTAAGTATATGAGCCAAAAGCCGGCTCCATTTATCATCTCTAATTAAACTTTGCTTTATCTTCCGTTTGGTCAAGGAGATTCGTGCCATGGCACTAGACAAAAAAAAAAAAAGAAAAGAACTTCAGGAGGATCTAGCTGGCAAATACGGGGGACACAGTATCAATATCGTTGGGTGAAGAAGAACTCGGTCAACACAACACTCAGCCGGTGCAATATGGATCTTTGTTAAAGGGGCCAAAATCATTATTAACTGAAGGTGCTAATAACACGGCCGCGTTTATTAGGGCGCTTGTAGCTGTAGCAGCTGTTGATTGTCAGTCGGAAAGTTTTGCACCCCGCCTTCTAGTAGGACCGGGAATTTTCGACGACTGACGATTATTGTCGGCAAATATTATATATAATGGCTGCCACTTGTCAAGGCGATAAATCTGTACATTCGGATTTGGCTGTAGTTTCCACTAATTATGTTCCAGGCCCCGTCGGACATCACGTGTAATCCTCAAAGTCCATTGACCCGATTACATAGGATTGTCACAGTAAATAGTACATTTGACCTTGTCTGATATTATACTACACGCTATTGATTACTTTCTGTCAGGAGGCACCACCTACTGGCTCGTGCAGCTAGGCCATCTCTCCTCCCCTTTGCATTGTCAACCATTACCTGTTCTCTCTCTCTCTCTCTTTTTTTTTTCTCTCCCCTCCACTTAAAATCCTTAGAAGGAAAAAAATCGGGACCGGTGCGGGTGGCTAAAGACTCACAGGTGTCCTGGGGATGTAAGACGAGACGGTGACACGTCAAAATATATGAAGGTAGCTGGCAAGAATGCTGTCAGTTATCATTTGCCGCTCTCGTGCCAGTGTGCAAGTGTAACAATACATGACAACAACCTTGCACCGCATGGTTAAATGAGAAGAAAATTCAATCACCGTTATTCACTGTAACAGATTAGCACTTTATTTTCCGAAAGATACTACGAAGTTTATATAAATTACATAATGTACTTATTTATTTATTTATTTCGGCATTAAATTCTTTTCGTAAATGGCAACCGTATGAGTACTCGGAAGGGGGTCTTTTGTTACCTTCTTGGGGGTTCGACTTACGTGACACTTTCTTATTGCCCCCAACGTAATGAATGTCTTTTCTTTCTTCTCGGACATTCGATAAATCTTCTAGTAGAGGTGACATATGTCCAACTGTAACTGCTCTCTTTGTGTACCCATTCACTAGTGTGACGCATTTCCTGCTGAAGCACTGGACATCTATGTTTGCTCGGTCTTCCATTCTTCCTATTCATTTTTGCTTAAGTAACTGAAAGATTTCTTCGTTTTAACCATCTCGCTTCGCTGGTTTTTGCGGTTTGTCAGGAGGGCGTTGACAAAACCGGGATCATCAGTGTTTTTAAATGCTTCAACGTGCCGCATTTAAAACACTTAACAATTCTATTATTTTCCGTATTACTTAATTGAAACAATAGTAAAACTTATTAAAAAAAGAAGAAGGTGTTCATCCGATGTTCCTCGTCGCTTCGGGGGATCATTAAGACAACCGAATTTCACTTTTTATGTCCATTAAAGAGCAAAATTCAGTTTCTTAATCATCGCGGCATTCAAATTATATTAGATAAAATCATCTAACAGGTATTTTGCGCGTAAAAACAAATGATAAATATACGTCTAAGGGGGGTGTTTCTCAAGCCGGGATCGCCTGTTTAGCAAAGAGCATTTCGATTTACGTGAGGAAGTGTGTGTGACGTCGATGCAGTTGTAACAGATTTGTCCCGTGACGTACATTAATTTTATGAAAAACGAATCTCATTTCAAACACTGCACATTTTAATTAGTGTTGTTTACGTAGTTACATCAGTTACAAAAGCGTTAAGCCCGTTTCATTCAATCTTCATCTAGGATTACCAAAGGAGAGCTAAAATGGCAACACGTTTTTGCATATTGTGGCTTCGGCAGCCATTGTGGCACGAAAGGGATACAAAAACATTTTGTATAGCGAGAAAGCGATAAAGGTTTGTCTAAGGTTTTTTTTTTCTTTTTTTTTCCCCTCTCTTCCCGATATCTTTATTTAAACAGGGGTAGCTCTTCTGCTCTTAAAGTGCGGCTCGATCACGTGAGAAAGAGTCGGACAGGCGATGTTGGTGCAGAAGTGGGTTTGTCCCGTGAAATATGTTCGTTTTATGAATACTAAAGCTGTCAGCCGTGAAACTCCGATTGTTTCCAAGGTGGAGACGACTACCGACTGCTCACTGCCCTGATAACATTCAACGATATTTACTCGCAATAGAAACACAACAGATAGTCGGACTGGTGAACGACACAAATCTTATCTTCCCACTTTTTTCCGCGGTTGTAAATATTAAAAGTGACACTCGTGCCTTATGACGTCTCTTAAATTTTTATACTTCTCTTTCTAAACTGCGTTCATAAACTACCATACCGATTCTTCGGTTACGTCTTTGTAAACTTTAAGACACGTTTCTCCACCCCTCCTTCGGCTTTCTTTTTTATTTATTTTAATGTTTGTTTATTAGCTGCTCGCTCTCCTCTCTTCTTCTTCCCCCCTCCCCATCTTAAACGAAGATATTAGAAAATAAGGGATTTTTCATTTCTCTCTTTTCCTACTCATTCATCTTTCATGAAAATCTAGGCTTTAATTTTCCCGAATTTAATACCCGTGAAAGGCAATGGTGGCAATTATCGATCCGCAGATGGCCTCATAACTATTAATGGAAAGGGGGGGGGTTGTATGATGGAAATTAGTCGTGTCGAATTATTCTTATTTTAATTATCCTTCTTTCAGCATCCTTATCCCTCGGAAGATCAGAAGAAGCAGTTGGCTCAGGATACTGGCTTGACGATTCTGCAGGTCAACAATTGGTAAGTAGTGGTCTTTGCACCCTTCTTTAACAATTCGTTCCCCACACGTATGGATGAAAACTCTTAATAATAATCCAATTTAAAACTGTATAAACATATTTAAGAGAAAATGAGAATTTTAACGAGTTTAAAAAGAAAAAAAAAAAAAAGGGGAGGAAGTTAACGAAAAAACTTCGTGTAACTTCTATTTCTAGTTTAGTAGTTAATTAAATAAGAGGACGGTATTGATTGGTTTGCAGGACGTAAACGGTTTTTCTCCGTGTTTAATCTCTTTTTTTCACTTAATAAAAATTACGAAAGGGGGTGAGAGAGAGAGAGAGAGAGAGAGAAAGTGGTTGTTAATTCGACCCCTCGGTGAAAAACTTCGGCGGATACAAAAATTTAAAATTTTTTCGGTGGTTTATTGGCTTTGGATAGATACATCAGGCCACGAGGGGTGGAAATATTTTAAGCAGAAGAAGATTGGTTTTTACGTGTAGCGATTTTCATCGCTACCGTTGCTCGAAGGCCCCCTCTCCCTAAGAAGAGAATAATTTTAGGTTTGACTTCCCGCACACACACACACACACACCTCGAGCCGAAGAAAAGTGAATTTAAAAAGGAAAAAAAAAAAAAAAAAAGGCTGTTGTAAGCGAGGGAGAGACGAGGGACACTTTTGTTGCTGTGGTGCTTTAGAGAAGTGGTGATTATGTCGGTCAAGTGGCGGAACTCCTAAGGTGGTCCCTACCTATATATAAGTCTAGTTAGGCATATATCTGAGAGGGTGGAAGGTTATTCGAGCGAATCTTCGTCCGTTTCTCACGATGCCCTTTATAGAAATGTGTGGTATCTGGCGTATGGGGTAATTGGCGGGAGCACCTAAATTCTTTTTTTTTTCTTTCCTTCCCCGAAATCGGTAAAACTCATCCCACGGCGATTGGTTCACGGGTTGGGGGGCCCTTTCGGGGTACATACCGCTCGCTCCTCTTTCTCCTAATGACACGGTATATAGGCCTACTTGTAGTAAGTAAGGAACTTGAGGTAATTTACATCGAAAGTAATTCCCAAGGGCAGTCAGGTAGATAATGACAGGGCCTTGTCCACCTAACGAGATTGCCGGGTTGGGCCACGGCTCGTCTCTTCTTTTTTTTTTCTTTATTTTTGCGCCTCTCTGCAAACGGATCTCGCCACCGGGACTTAAAATCAGTGGCACAGATTATCCGGGCGCTACACGTGTTGTATGGCAGCCACCCCGTATAAAACCGTGATGGAATGCTATTAAACTGGAAATAAACATTCTGCAGGAGCTCTTAATTGCCGAACGACAAAACATTTTCCCTTCCTGTTTTATTATCGGACCGCGCTACCGTTGTGGGATGCAACAGTGCCTCCGTTAATCCCTTGGGGAATAAAGTGACCCAGATGACGATTATTAATGATTCGGCGAGCGGGATGGACAATTTTGACGATTTTTCTGTCAACGCGGTCGGGTCACGTGTCACTAGGGGGGATGATTTCGACGGGGAACACCGTTTGATGGATGGGCGGCGCGGTATATTCATTACCGTTTCGATGGCGGCGCGCCCTTAGCGCACACGCGCGCGCGCGCTCGCCAAGAGGCGACACCGGGCGAAAGCGAAAGGGTGGCGCGCCGTAGTTTGCAGGCGCATTGCCACAATGCGTCTGATTTATTATTTGCGCCTGGTAGCGGGCGTACGTAATCGATGGCTGAGGCGATGTTATCTCCGCAGACAATTACATGTGGCGGTAGAAGAAATTAAAGTGGGCTTGCCTCGAACAACGTATTAACGTTTATTGACGATGTCCAGCCACCATAAAACCAACTTTCGGTCCTTTTTTTACGAGTCTCGTTTGGTTTCGGGGTGTCCTACGGGTTAAAAACCCCCTACTTGTTATGCCGAGCGCGTAGAAAAAGAACAGACGGAGGACGACGGGTCTTTGTTCTCGAACCCCGGGAGGCCGAATACTTGCACCTGACCTCTTCGACCCCAAGGGGAGAGTGGGGCGACATAAAAGAAACTTCATCCCTGGCCAGCATGCCGTAGGTGGGCCGAATCTTATCTTCTTACACGGAATACACTAACTGGTTTGACCTAGTGATCCCCAGGTGAGTTTACAGCCCGACAGCTGTACGTATGGCTTTGGGCTCGGTCGGGGGTAGCTCCATTCCGCCGGGATGATCCGAGCCAGACAAGATAAATTCGAGCCCCGGACCATTGTACTCGGCTGTTTATTACATTACCGAACAAACCTGTCAGGAGCACCTGGCCGCTTACTGCTGCAGCACCGTTAACAATATTAATCCCGTCCGTCCGATGTCTGTGACAGCTCCGATAGATCCAATGGTTTCTGTCCAAGAGAGCACCCTCCATTAATACACCAGTCGTAGTTTCGAATGTCTCGCATTTTCGCGTGATCGAGCGAGCGATTTGCCATGGTAGATACGAGCCGAAACCCCGGGGCTTTAGTTTTCTTTTATTTCTTCTTTTATATTTTCGTCTGGGAGGGCGGAAAAAAAAGTGACACTAACGAAACGTCATTAGCTGACGCTAGAGATTCGATCCTGGAGGATTAGTTAAGAAAGAACAGTAAATTTGGAAGGAAGAAGAAATAATTGGTGAACTGTCAGCGTCCTGCTCCTGCGTGGCGCCTCGCAGCCGGAGACGCCTGTCACTTTTCATCAAGCTGAACGTTTTCAAGATGGCTGCCCACCGCACGCCCTCTGGCGACCAAATGGAATTTAATTAGCGGAGAAGCTCGGAAACAATGTTTAAGGAAGAAGTGGACCCGGATCTCCAGTCATCTTATTGATTCCCACATCCTCCGTTTCGGATATCTGATGCCAACCAACCCTTGCTGCTGGCACAGGCGCTTCGCTTCTGTTGCGAGGTGCCAACCATTTTGACTTTTCCAAACTTTTATTGTTAGGTCCGAACTTCACAAAGCGAAAATAAACACGGCCACAGACTAAATGCAAACGTATCTCGAAGCTCTTACGAGGAAATCCTTTGTTTATCAATTTAGAATGGCCGATATTCTTGTAGTAACGCCAATAAGGGTGTCGTACACACACACTAGAAACACAAGAGTTCTTTATGAAACGTCCGGGGGACAGAAAAACAAGGTCTCTCTCTGCTGGTGAAGTGCAATATTTCAAAGGCGAGGCGTTTTATAAAATGGAAACGGAGGGTCAACTGCTCTGTTCTAAATTATCCATTCGGTTTGGATAGGGACGCATGGCTGCACCCGCCTCATCAGCAGCAAAGGACGATGCTGCACTGGTAGTAATCGAATCAGTACATGACTGGCTCTAATGGCTTGTGCAATGATCTTGTTTAGTCAGATGCGACTTCCTTAATTATTCCTGCGTTTTTCTCCGATGTTAGCTCCGACTGTCATTCTTCATTTCGTCCGCGATGCACGGATACTCCACCCCGAGTCACCATCGGTTATGCAAATGTGGCAAACGATAAAAGTAAGTTTATTTCTGCCCCGTCTCTCTTTTGCCACCATCTGCTACCGTTTCCCTCCTCCTTTTATCTGCAGTAACACTTAATAATAAGACTTATTTAACACCTTTAAGTATTGTTTTACGAGCTTGTCTTTGGGGTGTCAATGGTCTGGACGTCGTTCCCGTCACGTGATATTGCCTGTCACTCCTCGTGGCTATTGTTAGTGGCGGTTACCATGACGATGTAGTAGACGAACGACACTATTTTTCAGCTTTAATTTTTCCATAGCTTTATTACTTTGCGAGGGGGGAATTGGCAATCGCGCGTCAGAAAAACGATTTTTCCACGGCGACGTCGCTCTCGCTATCGCCAGGCAAAAGACAGTGAAAGGCCACTTAACCCAGCGATTTTAATCGCCTCCTCCCCCCGAGCCCAATGTCTTCGCGTGATGTTTGGTAGCAAGCAATCTATAAACGCCATGCGAGTGGCGAAAAATCCGTTAATTCCCAAAGAAAATTTCTCAATTTTTGGCTACATAAAAATATGCTAAATACTACTATCGACTGGTCTTTCGGTATCTCATCCATCACGGCATCAGTTTAATTTGTTTCAGTTTTTTCCCCCCTCCTCCTCCTCCTCCTCCTTATCAGGTGTTGTTACTGTACTTTCTTTCTAGTTAGCGGTGCGCATCAGAAAAAGAGTCAAGCTAATTTCCCGTCCGCTGTAAACACGTCATTGTATCAGACGACGATTTTCTCCCGCTTAATACCATCAAACGACCTTATTGTGTTCTGGCAGGTTTCCCTGGTAATTACCGACCTCTGAAAAATCTCTCACACTTCGGGACTTTTTAATTAGAAAGTCGGACAAGAAGCAAATTATATTACTTATCGGCTGAAATATCACCTTACAAAGTCTAATCAAAGAAGATGTCTTCCCTTATTTGCTTGTAAGGTGTCGTTTGGTAAACCTAATAGCCGTTTTTCTTACAAACGAGTCAGGCTAACGTTGGGCAATTTCTATTTCTTTAAGGCATTCCTATTCTAGGAGTAAACAAAGGGTGTCGATCGACTCCTTATTCTCATCCCTACTTCCACCATCCATTGGCAATTTAGTAAGGTAAACAAATTTACTCCCTATTTGCACCCTTTGCATCCTAAATCCATTCGGGTGGGTGTAGAAATTTGCCAATGGATGATAGATTTAAGGACCCGATCATCCATTAGCAATTTCTACTTTCCCACAGTAAAGGGGTTTACATCCTTATCTGCACCCCCTTACATGGATTCGGATTAAGACTTTCTTGATAGGCCTACATTATCTGGAATCTTAAATCACGAAGGAACCCATTAATTTTGGATAATGGACGATAATAAATCCATTATATTCATCGTCCCGTGTTTTTTTTTTTTTTATATTAAATGTATTTTAGTGCCTACCTTCGCCTCTTCTTGACCGTTTCGTGCGCTCACCCCACGATAACAATTTAATTTCTCGCGTATAATTGGAGATAAAGTTAATTTTTCGGCCATTTTTTTTTTATTTTTT